CCCACGCTCTCGGTGCGGCCGCGCACGATCGTGCAGGTGAGGATGGGCCCGGGCGCGGGGGGAACGGGCTGGACTCTGCCCCGCTGCCCCCTGTGGGGCCCGGAGATCGCTGGGCAGAAAATAAAAGCGCTGAGGCGGTGATATCCGGCCCGCCTGGCCCCCCGCCAGCCCGGCCTGCGCCGCGGCTCCGCTGCGGGGGGGTCTGCGGGGAGAGGGATAATTCTGCGGGGGAAAAAAACATCCTAGTGCTTAAAATGCTGCCCTGTCCTGCCAGGGTGGCCTTGAGCTGCCGTTTCACCTGCATCCCACCCCTCTCGGGCTGGCCAGGCTGCAAAATCTTGATGCCCAGCAGAGAACTGTGCTTGCTTCTTAAGCCTTGGATGCTCTTCCATGAAATGCCCCCATCCTGCTGGAAGTGCATTGCTCTTAAAAGCCACTTCATGATTTAAACACCAGCTCGAACGTCAGCGTCCTCTGGTTCTTGTCAATCTGGCTGTATCCTCCAGTGGGCCTGATGGTGCTCAAGTGTTCCTGCTAGCTTAACCATAAAGTAATAATGATGTTTAATATTAAACTGACAGTGTAGCTCAAATAAGCTGATGCATATTCATGCTTGGGAGGTAACTTCATTCCTTGGTCGTGACTCATCAAATGTAAAATCAGGCATGTTGGCTTCTAATTAAAAAGGCTATTTGCCAGCCCAGGACCGAGGTGCCTTTCACAACTAGCCGAGCGTTGGGATTTTGTGGAAGCCTCAGCTGCTTGAGAAATATTCCAGCTTAAGTTTGGGAAAATAATCGGATGGCATTTGAAAAGCTCCGCTTTGTGCGAAAGCTTTGGCTGGTTTCAGATTCCTAGAGTTCCTCCTGCATTTGTGGGTTGTTGAAGTGCTAAATATCAGCTGTTTGCGCTTCCAGAGCCTTAACGAAAATCCAGGCAAAAGGACTGCTGCTGTTAGATGACTGCAGCCGGATTTTAATAGGGAAGCAAAACACTGGCAAGCCGGGCACAGTGCTAGTCACATCTTCCATCACGCAGCACTGCTCCGACAAAGCCGAAAAGACCCAGTGTGGAAGCTGCTGAAAAGGATGTTGCCACTAGCAACTTCAAACACCAAATACTCAGGGCTGTAATTCTGCCCAGCCGCGCTGGCAGACCCTATATTTTGGTGTGACTAATGTGAAAAGAGTAACCCGAAAGGCAGTGACTTGGCTGGTGAGCCATGCACTGTTCCAGCTGTCGGAGCGCAGAGATGGCCGAGCGCAGGGATTTTTTTTTCTTTTTTTGTTGTTGGTTCCTGGCTGTCAGAGTCAATTACGTGAACCGCGCTTGACGTGAGGTACTGTTTTGGGAAGCAGGTTGGTAGCTGTCTAACCCCTCAAATATCTGCCCCTCTGGGGAAAACACATTCCTGAGCCCACTAGCTGCAGCCGGGGAGTCGACCTCAGGTGCGCGTCAGGTTGAGACTAGTACGGTGAAGGCTGCCGTGCGCTCGCGGGCCCTGGAGCGTCTGTGCAGAGGCCACCCTGGCTAAGAAGCAAGTTTGTCACTCTAGTCTAGAGCTTCTTGACCCAAGTGGATCAAAGTGGGGAAAGGCTCAAGGGGTTGGTGCTGTTATGTCTTCCGAACAGTCACTGCCCGCCTGGGCTGGACTCGGGTAGCTTCAGTTGTGGGGTTATGAGCCTGAAGCTTATGGTCCAAAAGGCTGTAGTTCCCGAGCCAAGCCCCGAATGGAATTAAGTAGATGTTCCTTGGACATGGCTGTGAAATTGATCTGGAAATGGGATCTTGTCCGAACAGTAGTCCTAGCTCTGTGACCTATATCCTGTTTCATGCAAGTCTGGTAGCTTAAACTCTTACTTCCCCAAGTAACGCTGTGCAGAGCTGCACCTCATGTGAGCAGCTTCAGCCTAATAGACTGTCCTGACTGATCAGTTGGCAGTAACTCTGCTGTAACCTCCCACTTGGAGCTCCTCTGGATTAGCCTGTGGATACCCTTGCTCTCCTTGTGGGAATAAACCAGCATCTTGTTCTGAGAACTGAATTTTCTGCCTAGCTGCGCATGTGCACTTGAGAACAGATATGTTCGTGGCTGGCTTGGGTGTTCTGGTGGGGACTTGGGACTTCCGATGGTGAATAGCTCCCTGGTTAACTGTTGCCTGACATGTGACTGTCGCCATTTGGTTGGCAAAGAGCCCAGGCACCCTTCTAGTTTGAGCGGCAATTGCTGCTGTCAGGGAGCAATTGAGAAACAGTGACAGAGAAGCTGCATCATGAGATTTAACAAACTCCTGAGCTTATGATTTAACAAGTTTGAGAACATTCCTGCAGTTGTACTAAAATATCTTGCATTTGCAAGGGCACCTCAGGGTCAGTGGCCTATCTTGGCTTTGTCAATGAGTGGACTGTAACATGGAAAAGTGTGTTTTGGAGTCCTTCACCTTTGTATGTAGCGTTTCTTCTAAAAGCTTTTGGAGGGGGACAGCTTTACTGCTGTCCCACTGTAAGGCTGCTCTGAGAGCTGCATGATCAGGACAGGGCCCTGTCTCAGAGGAGCAGTTTAAGCCCTTCTGTGATTTTTTTGTATTTTGGGGGGACCTCCCTTGAACTAGGGCAGCATTACAGACTGAGTAGTTCAGTCAGACTCGCTTCTAGTGATATAACTTGTCCATTTGGACCCCAAGGTTTAGTTTTTTTTCAGCCTTGCTTCAAACACCAGATGATCAGGCTGCCTTGCTAAGACTTTCAAGACCTTTTGTGAGAGCTAGAGATGCATGAAAGCAAGAGGAAGGACAGGCTAAGCTTATGGTGGAAGATGTTAACTTAATCTCCCTGAGATCTTTGAGCTCAGTTAAACTCAAATTACAAAATGATGCCCAGAATGTTTATTTTATGGTCTTAAGGTTATTTTAGCCTCTTGCATGTTAAGTAGTCGGGCAGGTGATTCAGCTTCATACTAAGCAAACAAAGCTTTGGAGGTGCCGGTGGGTGTGTCGGTACTGAGCAGGCAGCATTAAAATCACTGAAGTAACACCCCTAAGATGAAAGCTCTTGTGCTTGATAATATGCCAAGTTCAGCACAAAGCTCTGACACACTGGAAATTGTTAGGATACACTTACTAGTTAGGACATGAACTTGGATGTGCCTGGCTTGGGCTTTTGAGCAGTCTGGCATCTTGATTTGCTTTTAATGGATCTTGACAGGTAAAGGAGATGGCTAAAATGAGTGAGCCAACCTGATTAAATCAACAGGGACTGCTGCAGGCTGCTGCCATCTCGTATTTAGCAGGGACTTCTTTGGATCGACCAGTCTTAAGATTTAACACACTAGAATGGCTCTCTGCATCTGCCCTGAGTAAGCCAAGAGGAGGTGGTGAAGGAGCACCTCAAGCCCTGGTGAGGGGAAGAGCAAACTGCTGTGCTGGGAGGGAAACACGGCTGCTGGTGTGCAGCAAGAGCCTCAGAACGCAAAGGAGCAAGGAAATGAGACTGAGGCCTTTCCAAAGTGACCTATTTGTAAAGGAGTAGCTTTCTTTTTCACTGGTCTTGTATTGGAGAGACCCATATGAGTGTGGGGAGCAAATCCTGCTGCTGTCACCTATCTGCTCGGTCAATGTTTTCTTGCCTCTCACACTAAGACTCTCTTCATGTCTCAGGTTGTCCGTAGCCGCCTGGAGAAGAAAGGAATTGCAGTCCACAATGTCAGGTTGAATGGCTCTGCAGCTAGCCATGTTCTCCACCAGGACAGTGGCTTGGGGTACAAAGACCTAGATCTCATCTTTGGTGTGGATCTGAAGACCGAAGATGTCTTCCAGCTTGTCAAGGATGTGGTCATGGATTGCCTCCTTGACTTTCTCCCAGAAGGTGTCAACAAAGACAAGATCACCCCAATGACTCTGAAAGAGGCCTATGTGCAGAAGCTGGTGAAAGTGTGCAATGAGACCGACCGCTGGAGCCTTATATCGCTGTCCAACAACAGTGGGAAGAACGTGGAGCTCAAATTCGTGGACTCCCTCAGGCGGCAGTTCGAGTTCAGTGTGGATTCCTTCCAGATCATCCTGGATTCGCTCTTGCTGTTTGGGGAGTGCTCAGAGAACCCCATGGCAGAGAACTTCCACCCCACGGTCACAGGGGAAAGCATGTACGGGGACTTTGAGGAGGCCATGGACCATCTCCGGAACAGGGTCATTGCCACGAGGAACCCTGAGGAGATCAGAGGTGGGGGGCTTCTGAAATACTGCAACCTCTTGGTGAGGGGGTTTAAGCCCAAATCTGAAGTGGATATGAAGGCACTACAGAGATACATGTGCTCCAGGTTTTTCATAGACTTCTCTGACATTGGTGAACAGCAGAGGAAGCTAGAGTGCTACCTTCAGAGCCACTTTGTTGGGATGGAGAGCAAAAGATATGACTATTTGATGACCCTTCACAGGGTGGTCAATGAGAGCACGGTCTGCCTCATGGGACATGAGAGGAGGCAGACCCTGAACCTCATTGCCATGCTGGCTGTGAGAGTCCTGGCTGAGCAGAACATCATCCCCACGGTGACAAACGTTACCTGCTTCTACCAGCCATCTCCTTATGTCAGTGAAATAAACTTCAACTACTATGTCACCCACGTGCAGCCCTTCCTGCCTTGCAATCAGTCCTACCCCACGTGGCTTCCCTGTAACTGAGCCAGGACAAACTTCAGGGTCTGTCCTCCAAGGTATTTTCTTGCCTTGGGGAGTGGGGTGGGTAGGGAAACCTTCCCAGAACTGCAACAAAAGGAAACTTCTTGGACTCTTGCTCCAGCATCTTGTTTCCAGGATTTGGGGAACGAGGCCTGTCTGCTGTACATGATGATTGGATGTGCAGTGTTATGGAAGCTAGATGACTTGGACGTTTACAGGAAAACTTGATCGCTTATTGAATTCTGTAGGCAATGGGGGAGGGTGGGTGTGTGTGAGGGGAGATTGTAGAATTACAGTAAGGTAGAGCTGCACTGCCCTGAATTGGATCTTTTTTTTTTTTTTTTTTAGTGCAGGAGGTGTTATGTGTGTGCAGACTTGTGGTTTCTGAAGATAGAAGCCAGAGTGGCTAATTCCTTTGTAGGACCAAAGAATCCTGTATAAGTGCCTGTAACAATATAAACACAACTGTACTGTAAACCTTAATTTTTTTTTGCAGGGGTTGACATCCCGAGAGCTTGAGGGGGAATGTCTTGAGAGGAAGAGATTTCAGCTGGGCGAGGGGAGGGTCATAAGATCATTTCTAAAACCTCGCTGAAGCAAGAAGGGGGTTGCAGGTTATGCGTTGCTGAGACTTTTGGCATGGCTTGCTGCCTGTGATGGACCAGCTGTAGCAAGTAGCTGTCAAAGCTGAGTTGCATAAACAGGGGCAGGCTTTGGGTGAATGGCTACATGTAAATGCCTCAAACAGGGGACTCTGAGCTGGGTTGGGAAGGTGCATGGAGGTGAATGCTGTGCTGAGCTTTCTGGAGACAAGGCAGCAGGGACCTACATGTGAATTTACTTAAAGCTCCTGAGTCTGCAGTGCCAAAATGTCATGATGTACATAAACAATATGGCAGAAGATCTGTCCAGGAGCCTGCCCTAGGCTACTGTACATAACTATTTTCTAGGAGAATTTGAAATGCTGCTTTTTTTGCGGGGGGAGGGGGCATGCAATGTGGTTTTAATGCACAAAGCCAGGGGCCAGCTGAGTTGTCTGGGAAGATGAGGCTTATCCTTGAAGCACAAACTGGGCAACTAGTCATCTCTAGCAGTCGCTGTGATGGGAGTTGGAGCCTGTGCTCTTCAGTGACATTTTTGGACTTTGGACCTTTCCAGCCCCCAGCCTCCTGTGGCCTGAAATCTTCCCTCTGCCCTTGGGCAGGTCCTGTCTTCAAAAGCAGCCTCTTTCCACCTGTGTGATTCCACATGTGCACAGCAGATAGCATTTTGAATTCATTCCTAGTTAGAAAACGAACCTGTGGGGGTTTGTGCAAAAGTCAGTTGGCCTTAGGAAAGTCTTCTCCAAACAAACTCTTGTGTGCGGAGAGCTTGATTATCTTAGTCAAACATGACTTTGAAGTTGTTGGCTGTTTAGAGCACAAATAGTCCTTCACTGAGATGCCTGGTTTGCAAAGCCCATTCTCATAGAACATCATCTCAGATTTAACTATGCATGGTTGGAGAGGTGGGAAAGCAAGCCAGCATTTCCTGGGTATGCTGCTCTGGGAACGCTATGACTTCATGGTGCTTCCTCCAAGGCTAACATACTTGAGTATCTTTACTAACCTGTTTTTTTGTTGTTTTTGTGACAAAACTGTAATAGCTGGGCAGCCTGAACACTCTAATAAAGACTAGCTACTTGGAATGTGTATAGCCAGAATGCTACCTTTTTTGGGGTGGGGGTGATATGGGGTAGGGGGGAAGGATCTGGGAGCTTTTGCACATGAGGTAAACTAATCTTAATTTGGTCTGGCTTTGCTTCCAGCACAGTAAGAGCTGAAGAGGAAGTGTCACTAATGCTGTAGTTATTACAGGTTTAACGATGACTTCCTGTAGAACGGCTTTACCTTCGCAGACCGGGCTTGCGTGTAGATTCCCCAGCAGCCCAGTAATTCCTTGGTGGCCAGAGCCTGATCCCTGTGATGGGAGTTTGGGACCTTTTCAGTGTAAGGTAAACTGGTTTAAGGGCTGCTTTTGAGATCCTAAGTATTCCGCCTTCATGGCCTCAAGGGAAGATTATTTTATTCTCACAATTTAAGCTTCAAATCTACATAGATGACATGTAGCATGCTTTTTTACAGGCTTCTTACTCTGTACCCACAGACACATAGCCACACTAAGCTGAAATTCCCTCCCTCCTGTTTAAGATGTAAAGATTCCCTGCAGCCAACAGCTCAGTAGGGCAGTTTAAGTTGAGATTGCACTTTCGATTTATGGAGTGTGTGTGTGTGTGTGTGTGTGGTGGGATTTCTGTGAATGGGTTGAATCTGAATTTTCTAGAGCTCTCAGTGATACTGTGCTGCCTCCTGTGAGGGGGAAATTGGAAGATTCCAGTGGCTTGAATGGCACTTGATTTTGTTTAAAATGTTTTTTTTTTTTCCTACACCTGTATCACTTGTCATGCAATGGGCTTGACATAGACTCACTAGATTCTTTAGAATCTGTTACAAATAAATACAATGTATTCAAAACTGTTGGATTTTTATTTATTTGTGTCTCAGGGTAGTGTGGTGGTAAGATTTCTGGGGAGGGGAGGTGCAGGGAAGAACAGACTTTAGCCCAAACGGTTGCCTTGAGAGCAGAACGTGCAGGCTGCTGGGCTCTTGGTCCTTGGTCTGTCCAAACACTACTTGTACTTCAGTCCCCAAAGCTGGAGTGGTTCTGAAGTGCGTAGCTGTTGGCAGGTTACTCCTAGGGCTGAGAGAGGCTTCTATTTATAACCCTGTTCTTTAGTGTTGGGCATGTTCCCTTTTCCTGGTGGCCTGTGGAGCCTCTGGTGGGGGAGGGAGTCCCGCCGTGGCTGCCTGCTCACTTGATGGGAATCCAAGATCCCGTCCTGCGAAGGACCTCGCTGGGAGTCTCTCATGTTGTTAACTGCTTTCCACAACTTCAGTTGCTTCTGATGGTTGTGAGCAGCACAAAGGCTTGAGTAGCTCAGATGTGCTGATTTTGTGTAGCTGACCCCCCTGTAAAGTCTTTCCTCTTAGAAAGAGAAGGTATGGAGCTCCAAAAGGCCCATTTTCCAGCTAGATCAGTGTTCAGACCAGATCACTGTTCGATGACCGCCTGTAGCCAGGCACAAGCTCCTCGCAAAGCCCTGGCCTCCCTCCAGCCTAAGATGAAGTTTCACTTCCCTTGTTGAGCTACAGGCAGTTCTGGTTCCCCTGCAACAATCGGACTTGACGATGCGCCAGTCACTGTTTGGGACGGAGTCGCTGGCTCCGCTTCTCCAAATTCCTCCCGTACAGGGGCCGAGCTTCCCTCTGACAACAGGCTGGGATTGTTCCTGCTGGGCTGGCACCCGGGTTACTCACGTAAGAATGCAGCCCTATTGTCCCATTAAGTAGGACTTAGCCCTTGCAGAGCCAATTCCTGTATGAACTGTGCTGGCTTTTCTTCCAGACCTGTTGACGGTGCAAGGGGCTGTCTGCTTGCTTGCTAGCGTGCAAGCCTAAAGCCTCCTTCCCCTAAGTGCATCTTATATTTGCAGCAGTTTGAAAGACCTTCTTGCTGCTGGGAGGAGGTGCTGCAGAGCCCTGCTGCTGTTGATGCCCTGGTGAATAAGCTGCCTCTGAATCTGTGACCCTGAGCCGAGCAGCAAAATCCCTGACAGGGTTGGCTTGTCATTGTTGGAGAGGATCAGCCTATACAAAAGGATGTTGGTGGAAAGTACTAGTTGCAATCAGAAAGGAGCTATCAATGTTTACAAGGGAGATTTGGATCCCTCTTTTGTTAATTCTCAAATAAAGGCGTATGTTTTCTCACAGGGTGGAGTCTGTTGTTTTTTTTTTCCCCTAAACAGAGGGTTATGGACAAGTCAGGGTGCCCCTGAGCAGCTGGTTTGTATATGAAATGTAGACTCTAGGAACGAATGCATTAATTCATCGTGTGCTGGATGTTAAGTGCTTCCACCAAGCCTTGGCTCCAGCACTTTACTGCATGTTATGCAGTGCGTAGAGCTTAGCTGGGGTTAGAGAACAGAATTAGGGCCATATTTAATGTGATAAACTGTTGAATGCTGTAAAAAAATGCTGAAGAGCTTCAGGTAGTCCTGGCTCCAGACAAGGGTTCCTTCTCTCTCCAACTCTTCCTGGGTATAATGGGAGTGGGTTTTTTTCCCTCTGTCCTAGTTATTCCCTATTTTTAGAGCATTAGTTCTTTGCCCAAGCCAGACTGGTCTGGGTCATGCTTGGCCCTGCTGAGCTCGAGTGACCTACTGAGCCAGGCACGGAGCTTTGGAGGATGCCTGGGAGCCTCATAGTAGTGGGACATGTGGCCTGCAGCTCGTCCCAGGGTGACCGGTGCCTTTAGGGACCTGCTCTATCAACCACATCCACTTGTGGGGATTTCATGACTTGCAGCTGCAGAGGTGCCTTTGGTCAGGAAGAAGGTCTGACCAGAACATCAGCAGATGCAGGAGTTTATTTTGTGTCTCCAGAAGGTATCTAGCTCCATCCTCGACACTTTTGGCTGTCTGTAGCGTCCCAACTAATGATACAGGGTAAGGCCATCCCTGTGCCTGCTCTATAAGGTCCAGAGGGGTGTTCATGCTGCATCCTTTGAGATGATCCCTCTCATTGTACAACGAGGTTCCTCCATGCGGGTGTTACCAGCTATTTGAGACCACAGCGGAGCAGAGCCCGTCTGTGCAGCTCCTCTTTCCATTTATAGCCGTGTTGAGGCGAGCCAGGGCGCAGACCCTTGTGCTCCGGCGCCCGGTGCCAAGCATGAGACAAACGCTCCATTGAGCGGGACGGCCGAGCTGCTCGCGGCTGGGCTGGCGCTGGCACAGCCAGGGGCTGGAGCTGCAGGGGAAAGCGCCTTTCCGAGCAGGAAGAGGCCTGCACGGAGAAACGTGCGGCTCGCGGCTCCGGCTGACTTCGCTCTCTTATCTCCTGGCCCCCATCACTGTCTGCTCAAGGCTCTGGGTTAGGCTTGAAGATAAGATTTTGGCTTCTGTTAGTGCTGATTTGGGCAGGCAGGGGATTTGAAAAGATTTTGCCTGCTTTTGGATGTGACCTGTGCCCTGCCTGCTTGGCCGGACAGGCAGTTCCAAGGCTGGTGATGAGGTGCTACCGCGGGCGACCCCGGTTGTCACCTGGCTTGGTCACCTTCTCCTCTGACTTTTTCCCCTTTTCTGGCATTTTTCCCTTCAGGTCAAGTGCACTCGGTCAAGGGTGGTAGCCTGAGTCCCAGCAAAGCCCCGCGTGCTCTGGGCTCCCTTCCTCGCGGCTCCCGTTTTCCCAGTATCCACTCCCGGTGGCTGCACCCCGGCTTGACGTCGCAGACAGGCCTGATCGCAATCAGCTGCTGGGATGCAGAGCAGTGCCGGGGATGATGGGCAGCACCGTCACCGCACTGGGGTGCAGAAACGCTCAGAGCCT